CCCTTGTCTCCTCCACAGCCTTTTGCTCCCTTTCTCCAGCCAGCACACAACCGGGCAGGAACCCGAGACCGCAAACCCATTCTGGTCCCAAACCCACCACGACCACAAGTGCCACCATGCATGGGGTGTTCATCGCCCACAAAGCCTCGCTGGCACCCGGGAGCCACCCCCACCATTTGGCCGCCCACTGGGGTGTGCTGTTGCTCCCCCTTTAGTTCTCAGGCACTTTCGCCCCCCCCAAAAAAGCAGCGCCCCAGAGCTGGCTCTGCTGATGCTGATGGGGTTAGGAGGGCTGGGCAGGATTTTCCTGCCTGCCACCATTTTGCCAGCCGGGATTGAGACACCACAGCAAAGCCTGGAGCCGCACAACCAGAAAATGTGAGCGCCTGCAGCGGAGGACAGAGCCCACCTGGGATTCTCCAGCGCCCACGAGTACCCCGAGCGCCCAGCCGTCCTGCCCCACTCTGCTGCTCCCTGCACACCTTCAGTTCCAGGGAAGGCAGAGGAGGAGCCCTGCCACCGGCAGCCTTCCCCCAAACCACACCGAGGGACCACACCACCACCTCTCTTCACCTGCTGCTCGCATCCACCACCTCAGTACAGCATCACCAGCTCTTCAGCAGAAGTGGGGTGAATGGCAACAGTGTTGTTCAAGTTGGCCTTGGTGGCCCCCATTTTGAAGGCCATGGCAAAGCCCCAGAGCATTTTGTCACAGCCCAGCACTTGCAGGTGCAATTCCACCATCTTTAGGGAAGAAGCGAGAGGCTGGATGGGATCCAGCACTGGCGAAATCCAGGCTAAACACTGGGCTTGGTGCTGGGGAGCTGGATCCCAGCCCAAGATCTGGCCTGAGCAGGTCAGAGCAGACCACGCAGGGACAAGAGGATAGCTGCCGCGGCAGGGGGGAGCCAAGTCACCCTCCTGCAGGACGCAGTTGTCCCTCTGGTCCCTTCCATGCACCTTCTCCTCCTCGCCAGTGCACACCAGCTTCATGACACACTTAAACTTCCTCTGGGTGATGGTGTGGTGGAAGGGGGTGAAGCACGTGCTGTAGATATTCACGTTCTCCCTCCTGTGCGTGGCCACAGCTTCATCTGCAGCAGAAGACACGACACAGCAGGCAGGGGATTGTGGTGGTGCATTCCCCCTCTCCGCCCCGGGGCCGCTTGTTGATTTCAGAAACTCTCATTAAACCTTGGCCTTGGGGTAACAAATCAGGTGGTTGAGCGCCCCTTGACTGTATCAGAAACTCTGCATAGCTGAGGCTGGGGAATGTACTGACCGACCAGAAACTTCCGCTGCCTGGCCCAAGTGGGGGACAAGAGCGGGGATAATGCGCCATCCCCTGATACCCTTATCTGAGTCATTGCTCAAGTGGAACGATACCATTGTTACTGAAACCTTGAGAATTTTAACGGATGACTAAAGCCAATCATCTTGTGACCCTATAATTCATGGTCCCAAGTGAGGCCCTTTGAGCTCTCCTGGACCGCAGCGGGCTGCGCCCAGTATCTCCCTCTGAGTCGGACACCTCTCAGAGCTTGCGAACTCTCGAGCTTGCGATATTCAGAGGACCGTCGCTGACGACGAGACCTGGGCTGAAACACTCCTCAAGGCTCAAGGCCTCACCCATTGAGAAATGCCAAGGCATTTGACATGAATATTTCACTGGACGCAAGGGGAATTTTTAACAGGTATACCTTTGTATATTTATCTATCTTTGTGTCTGTGTGTGTGAGCTGATAGTAAGATAATTAATTGCTACTAAAATCTTATGACCTATCTTAAAACTGTGAATGAACCTTAAACTGCTATTGAACACATGTAATCCCGTAGATATAAACCATTGACCAAGTCTGGGACTAGGAGCGGATCCAGCCATACCTAAGCTCCATCAGGAATTTAGAAAGCAAGGGGGTCTACTCTGAATCTCATGACTCAACAGGAGGGTCTCCCTTACCCATTTTCATCCTCGGTCTCTGTATAAATCATACTAGCTCAATTCTAACTTGATTTTCGTTTGTATGCTTGATACGTGTAGTAAGTGATAGAGTGAACCTTGCTATCAAACTCTGTTAAGTCATGCTTTCATAAATTTCTATTAAAATCACTTTCTACCCATACTTTTGATGGTGATTCTTTAAGCGACCTCTAAACCACTCATTCGTGACAGGGATGTACCGTAAAAAAGAGAGTTAAAGCACATTTTGCAAGGCTCAGACCACTTGCCAGAGATCAGATCGTTTCCTCAAGCATCAAACCAGCAGCTCTGAGCTTCCCCCGTGCTGCCGCCCCCCGTGCCCTGCCTGCCCACACCTTCGGAGAGGCCCATGGTGCCGATGGGCGGGTGGCTGAAGATGATGGTGGGGGTGTCACGGTAGTCCAGCCGGGAGTCCTGCTTGCCCTCGAAGAGCCTGTGTGCCAGCTTTCTGCCAGGCACGATCGCCAGCGTGGGGAGGGACAGGGAGCCTGAGCCACGGCACAGCACAGGGACGAGGGGCTGTGGAGAGGGGGCACAGCTGCAGTACCACCTGGGGTGAGGAGGGCTCTCCCACAGACGTCCTCGACAGTGTAGACGCCTCTCCTTGTGGTATTCTGGTACTCATTCACTACCACGTGGCCCTTGGTGTCCACCTGCATGCCCTGCCGTGGGAAATGGCAGCTGCCTTGGCACCCCCCCTGGCTGAGACACGCTGCCACTGATGCCCAGGGGAGCCTGTGCTGGCTGCAGCCCGTGTTCCCAGCTGTGGGGGCACAGCAGGAACACCATCCCATGGCAGGCTCCGGAGACCCCCAGGACCCCCAGAGACCCATGGGACCCCTACCCATCAGTCACCCATAGCATGACGGACCATCTGGCAGGTGGTCCCCACTGCGAGGAGCGTGACGCCTCCAGTGCTTGCAAGAGGCAATGGCAGCCACGCTGCAGGTCCAGGGATGCCGCCAAAGCTGTGGCCCGGCAAGCAGCACTCAAAAAGCTGGCTTTCACCCCAGTCCTGCCTCTCCAGAAGGGATGAGACAAGCTGCAGGTCTGCTCTGCGTGCCTGTACCTGCACGTGCTTCCACACGTCCATCCCAGTGTTCTCCAGCTCCTGGGGCAGTTCGAGCTGATCATTGAGCCAAAGGTCCTCAGGGCCTTCAGTTGTCCCTCAACAGGGAGGATCTGGAGCCCAGTGTGGAAAGGATCCCCGCAATTTCCACCACAATGTACCTGGCACCAACAATAACACTGCGCCTGCGGAGAAGCAACGATACCGTGCAGGCATGCAGAGCGGAGAGAGATGGATGGGGCAACAGTGCAGGCAAAGGATCACAGATGTCTCTGCTGGGTTTATATCAGCAAGCTCAGGTACTGTGTTCACCCAGAGCTCAGTCCGGATTAAGGATGTGTGAACGTACCCAAGATGCGGGGTGAAGGGATTCAGACCATTTAAGCGTGCTTAGTTTTGCTTCAGGTCTGTGAGGAGGTCAGCTGTTACATGGAAAGTGTGCTGGATTAGAAATGCCCAATGGGATTATTTCACAACTCCTCTTACGCTGTTTAACCCCTAATGGATAAGAGACTGACATTACAATTCATATTTTGCATGTAGCAATAAGTGAACATTGAAATGAGATAGCTAAAAAGCAAAAATTAAAAACATAGACGTCTTTTTTCCCCAGCTCCGTATTACCACCCAGCTGGGGGATGTTTGGCAAAGGAAGCTGGGGACATCTTTTTGAACACCTTGGCCAGCCCTCATTCACGAGGATCTCTTCATGCCAGTGGTATGACATTTTGGTCTCCGTGTATCAAGCATGAGTTATCCCTGCCTCAGAAGCTGTTTTCTGCCAGTCTTTGCAGCTACAGCAAAGGTCAGCCCCGAGATCTTACACCCTTTAGCCCTTATTATTATCATCTTGGGGAGGGAATGTTTTCCACTTTGGTGTGCTCTAAGGAGTCCTTCTGACTGTAACTAGGCAATGGACAAGGAATGTGTCTTGGAAGACAGCGTGAAAGCTGCAGGTACAAAAAGTTCATTTAACGCATAACCATTTTCACTAAGAGTTGTAAGAACTAAGATATAAATAAGACACATTATTCTGCACAGTACTGCAGAATTACTTCCCAGAAACAGGCAGAGGAATTGACTTGACTAAACCTGATGGCTGACTCCTCTGCTTGGGAACCAAGATAAGCATTCCTGTTGACACCAGCTTGGATTTGGGCTGAGGATCTCCCTTCTTCTACCTCTATTTCCCCACTGTGACAGACCTTCAGAGCCAGGAGGGCTTTTGTCTTTGCAAGCCTGCTCTGGCTTTGGGAAGGCATCTTAGCTCCATTTTTTCCAGACTGGATGTTGAAGTGACAAGCAGGATTAAAAATGAAGTCTGCTACAGACTGAAACTGCAGGATGGGAAAAAATCCATCTGAGTAGTGATCTCTCCTGGTAAAGGCAGGGTAATTCCCTGTGTGGTGGGGTGAGTATTCACTAAGTGAGAGCAGTTTCATAGGACTGAAGCTCCACAGACAACAGTATAAAATATTTGAAGTGTTGACCTTACAGTCCTATAAAAGTGGGAGATGGGCATTCAGGTAATATGGAATCACTTCTAGTTTGGGGTCATTTCTTGTATCAAAACTAATGGGTATTGGCACCCAGGAGGGATTTTAAGTCGGTCTCTCCATGTTTGGTTCTGTAGATCACAGCAGCGTAGGCTCCTCAATCTAATGCTACAAAACAGAGAACTAAATACTCTCATAATTGTTATTTTAGGTCTGTATGAGCCATGTGCAAAGAAACTCAAACTAGCCCTCGTGTGAGAAGCTGTACAAATTCCAAAATAAGAAGGTATCTTGCTCCAAGAAATACATACATGACTGAATGGCTTTTTAGCTAGTAAATGAACACGGGCTGTGGATCTCAGCCATCAATTTGAACAGAGTACCTTAAATCCTGAGGGCATCAGCTTTACAATGTAATCTGTTTGTTCTTTTAGATTTCCTTAACTAAGATCTAATAGGAAATGAAACAAAATGAAGCAAAATGAAATGGGATGTTTTCTCAACTGGTCTAAAGGTCTCTCCTCCTGATAGTTCATAGGTCTGCACTGTTTTTTTTTCCAGCTGGGGATTATGCCCATTTTATCTATTTGAAAACAAAAATATCTATACATAGATAACAGAAGTGTGCATGTGTTTGTGTGTGTGCAGACATGTACATCTACATGTGAATAAATGCGTACAGGCATATACATGAATACAGCAAATATAAACCCCAGTTTTCTGAAAGATAATTGAAAACTTTTTAATTTACAGCACAAAAAAGACCTTTGCTTAATTGTGACAGCTGGAGGAGTGGTGGTGCCTTAGCCCAGCTGAGAACTTGAGCCTGGAAAGTGGCTCTATGGACACCACAGTCTCTGCTCTTCTTGCAGCAATCTGACTTCTCAGCTATTTCTCAGATTTTTCCTTCTCTTCTACTTGTATCTGTCAGTAACAAAAGAAAGGTGATCCACAAGTTACTTCAAAAGGAAAAGATAAAGTATGTGACAGACCCACTCTGCCTGCAAATCCCGACATCCTCCTCCCTGTCTAAGTCCATCACCAAACAGAAAGACCTCACCTGCTTTCTCAGAGTACACTGTTCACTCACACACCTCGGGGAAGGGCATAAAAGCACCTCTACTTTCAAAATCTCTGCTTCTGTGTACCTTGTGGACAGCTTAGCTCCAGGTTTCTCTTTAGACAGCCTTCGTGTATCTTTTTACTCTTCCTCTGTATGAAGGTACAAAGGAGCTGCGTATCAAAAAGGACCGTTTTCTTTCACTCCTTATCTAGTCTTACACTCACTGACCATATCCGGCTTTGAATCAACCTCTGCTCCTCACTGTTTGCTTGGACTTACTGTCTTGTTCCTGGCAGAGGGGACAGGCGGCCTTACTGTTCAGTGTTCAACCACACCAGCAGCTCTTCCAGGGGAAAGTGATGATCAACCTCCAATTTTCCCCACGGTTGGAACAGTTCGGCTCCATGGGCTATCAGAGAGAATCACACCAGCATCTTGTTTTCTGTGCGCCACAAGAACCACCGAGGAAGTGAAGGGGTTTAACGGGGTCTGCCAGAGCATACCTGCTGTGGTCCTCTGCAGGCAGACAAAAGCTCTGAGGAGACATCACCTTCCACCAGCTGCGCTTTTCTGATGCAAGGCTTAATGCAGAGATCATCAGACCTGAACTCTTGGGCATCCAATGCAATTCCTCGGTCTCAACTCATGGTGCCAGCTGAAGACCTTATTGTCCCCAAATGTCTCCCCCCCAGGGATTGTTAGCCCAGATGCTACTGCACACCCATCCTCAACTAGATCCATTTACCAAAGATCAATAGCCTAAAACACTTCAGTAGTAAACGAAAACAACAAATGAAATTGTATTTCCAGATAGGAGAAAGCCGATTTAAAATATTTTCTAACTTCTCAAAAGAAGTTTGTTTATAGCTGACATCTCTTCTACGATACAACACTGTTTCCATGCAGGCTGAAATTGTGGGGACGGGAAAGGTAAGCGCAGTGTCTTTCGGAGCCCATATCTCACCTGCTGGAGCAGAGCCCTCCTGTGCTGCAGGCTGTCACCACGACTGAAGCACCTGATGCTTCTCCCTGTCTGGAGCAGTGCCAGTCTGACACCACCAAGAGCCTGAGAGGACAAGAAAAAGAGGTGGGTGACAAGGGGAGGCAAAAAGACATCAGGATCATCTGCCAGAAGCAGAAGGTGGCAGAGCTGGAGAACAGAGAAGAGAGCGCTGATCTCCCACAGGAACCACACATACTCCCATGAGCCTTTCCACCATCCACCTTTTCTTCTGCAACTAGAGGAAAGGCTTTGCGAAAGCTGTTTCCCTCCTTTTTAAACAAGACACTAGTAGCACCAATATGATGAGAGCCATCTCTCAAGGCAATTTGCATCATTTCAGTTTCCATGGCTTTGAAAAAGAAAGTTTTCTCTTGGGGTTACTTTGATATGTGCAGGTACAAAAGAGATTGCAGATACCATGTACTGAAGTAGTCTCCCCCAGCAAGAAGTTCATGAACACTGTGGTTGAGCCACCTAGTGAAATCATGGATCCATGGATCCATATGAAGTACAGCTTTGTATTCAGAGGTTCAAAGGCAAAAAGGATGTTTGTTAGGCAAGGTAATAAGGCACGGCTATTGTATGTGCTTTGCAATCTTTTATATCAGGCATTTATGTGTTTCTGCTGAGAGTCAGGAGCTCAGCAGTGTTTGCAGTAGCTAGTTCATTCTTTTCATCCAGTTGCTGGTGCACCACTGGGGCTTAGCAACAGGGATGTTTGGATGCTGTCTGATCCCCATTATTTTAGCTGACCCACATGTCAGCTTCAAAATTGGTAACCTAAGTTTTTAGAGAGCAAGAAAGAGAGAAGAAGAGAAGGAAAGCAGAAGGAAAGCAAAAGCACTTAGCAGTGTATCCCTATTATTCAGCCAAGATCATGTTCAGTTTGGTGTGCCCTGCCCAAGGGAGAAAGAAACTGTTGCTGGAAAAGAGGATATGGGTGTCCTAAGGAGCCAAAGAAATAAAAGAAACCCTCCATGAAACAGATTACCCAAATTGCTTCTTATCCCAATTATGGAATTAACTCTCAGGACAAGACACCTCTGTGTACGTTAGAACAGCACCACTGGCTCAGACCAAAGATCTGATCTCTGCTGGGGCCCCGAGCCCATGGGTAGGGAAGAGATGTCAGAGGAAGGGAAGGTTTACACTCTTCTCAGGGGCCAACATTTGAAGAGCTTCCTGACCTGGTGGTTGTGTCACTCCATCCCATTTGGCAACCCCCCCAGGGCATACATCCTCCCCTGTCTCTTTGAGCCACCCTTATACTTCCCAGAGCATCCTGGGGAGAGGACTGTAGCACACACCACCTTCCCTGTTAAAACACCTTCTAGGTGGGGAAAAATGAGTATGTCTAAATTCAGCTGTAACTGGTTTTATTTCTGTCCTGTGTTTCATCTGGGTTGCAGGTCTGTAGACTGATTCGGATACTAATAGCCCAGGATTAGTGAATATGTTCTCTGCATGGCTGCATGAATGAGGTCTGCCATAATATACCAAAAATGAGACTCTCTACGTCAAGATGTTCACCATCAATGATGAATGGTTGGAGCGGTGTATTAATCTAGGTCTGGTAAAAACAGGCAGAGGACTACCTATAAAGATTTTTTCCAAGGATTGCTA